GGTTGGGTTGGGTTTGAGTTTTTCAAACCCAACGGGTTTTACCCCGGGTTTTTTTTGCGGATAAACCCATAGGTTTGGGTTTGGGTTTGGGTTTGACAAAACCCGCCCCAACCCGCCCCATTGCCATCCCTACCTGGAGGGAATAGAGTTTTTTTATTTTACTCATTTTGTTAAGTTATATAAAACATGAATAAAAATTAGATTTAAAAATTCCACATCAGATTACATATTAAGGTTGACTAGACTTTCTGTTAAAAATTAACGGTTAAAGAAGGTCAACTTTAACTGCAAAATAGTTCAGGATATAAATGAAATATTAAATAGTTTGGGATACAAATGAAATATTCATGATAATTCGGATTTTTCCGTACTAGCCCAATTTATAACTAACTATAAACCATTTTAAATTCATATAATCCATCACCAAAAGTTCTAGTAAATCATTTAAAATTTCACAAGATCATAAAAAATCAATTAAATTCGAATCAGTAATAAGGGGGACAATCAATAGTGAACTACGTGAAGCTCACAAGGAGGATAGTAAACAAATAAGAGCAAGAAGAAATAAAATTAATAATTAATATTGGATGGTCTTAGTTTGCACGTTTTGTAATTTTGTGGTTAAATTAGTGAACCAGTTAACTAGTCAAATCGGGGTAGTCATATAAGTTCGTGTTGAACTGTTAGAAACCGTCTGGTTCACCTCTAACCATTATAACAAATGGACCGACTCACTATTATAACTGATTTGACGATTCTACTGGTCCAGCCGCTAATTTGGTTAGGTTCTTCTAACCAAGCATGTAACACGCACGCCCGGAAGTAAAATTATACTGAAGAAACTTATTTTTCCATTTAACCCAGTTTGCTGCTTACCATTTATAAAGTAGGATTCTTGTTTTGTTTTTTCTAAGAAAGAAAAGCAGGGCATTTTAGTTTAACCTTACATCTTTATGAACTTTGACCTGCTACTTTAGTGTTGTTGCCCTTGCCCTTGCCCTTGTTGGGGAGACCCTCCTTGGTGGAGGTGGAGCCAACAGGAAGAGTATACCTCCCATGAATTTCATCTCTTTAGATTGATTTCTGGTGTCTAGTATGCTAGACTCTCTGGGGTTCAAAAGGAAAGGAAAAGGGCTAAACAGATATAAGCATATGAAATCTGAATGAAAGATTTACCTGTTCCCGAGGATAAAGCAAACAAAGATGTAAAGTCGACCATGTTTTCATTGTTAAACCTGTCGATTTGCGGCATGCTGTTGTTATGTACCATGATTAAATGGAAAAAATCTCAAGTTACACATGTTTTTAAAATAATTCTCAAAATACACACGTTATGAAAATAATTCCCAATCTACGCATGTTTGGGCCATCACCGCTGTCGACGAAGACAGTGATTGCATCACTGCTGTCGACAAAGACAGTGATTCCATCACTGCAGTACACGGCCGCGGTGAAGGCCTAACCTGCGTCGAAACTTTAAACAAACGTAACTTTGTGCTCGGTTATCCGATCGTAGCGAAATTTTTTTTGATTCCGCATAATTTTTCGAGATCTTGCAAGCCGCAAATTGCCGTAGGCGGTTTGGTCCTGCCTTCATCTCGAAAATATGTCATTTGCTACCCCGAACGAGCCTTTTTTTCGATTTCGTCAAACTTTGAACGACCATAACTTTGTGATCCACAATCCGAAAATCATGAATTTTTTTTTGATTTCGCATAACTTTTTAAGGACTACAATATTTAGTAGGAGAGAATTTTCAAAAAATGAATTATTTATGGATATAAGGGGTTTTGGGAATAACTTTACCTTCCTTTTCAGGAATCCAAGTACATTCCGAAAATATGTCTATGATAAAAATTGTATTCCTTAAAAAGTTATGCGAAATAAAAAAAAATTCATGATTTTCAGATTGTGGAGCACAAAGTTATGGTCGTTCAAAGTTTGACGAAATCGAAAAAAGGCTCGTTCGGGGTAGCAAACGACATATTTTCGAGACGAAGGCGGGACCAAACCGCCTATGGAAATTTGCGGCTTGCAAGATCTTGAAAAATTATGCGGAATCAAAAAAAATTTTGCTACGATCGGATAACCGAGCACAAAGTTACGTTTGTTTAAAGTTTCGACGCAGGTTAGGCCTTCACCGCGGCCGTGTACTGCAGTGATGCAATCACTGTCTTTGTCGACAGCAGTGATGCAATCACTGTCTTTGTCGACAGCGGTGATGCAATCACTGTCTTCGTCGACAGCGGTGATGGCCCAAACATGCGTAGATTGGAAATTATTTTCATAACTTGTGTATTTTGAGAATTTTTTTTAAAAACATGTGTAGTGTAATTTAGGATTTTTTCCTCATTAAATACCATGACCAGCCACATATTTCTTCTTTTTCTTTTCTTTTAAGTGGAAATAGATGACAAACAAAGCTTGCCCCACAGCGACATAAACAAGTGATCTATTCAACCAAAACCTTTCTTCTTGTTCCTGTGGAATTCAACCAAAACTTTTTGGCTAAGCTCTTAAAAAGTTACTTTCGATTAAATTGGTTGGCATTACTCGTTAATGTTGTTGCCTTTCTTTTTTATCACATTAAGTAATGTTCATTATCCGTGATAACTTTATCATTTTATCTTTTTGGTACGGATGACAATTTCGACTTGACCTGTTTTATCTTATATGTTTGGCCTGTTTTGGAGCGGGCATGGGTATTTCCATCGACCTGACCTAACTAGCCCCATTCTCGACCAGTTCTTGTGTTACATATAATTTTAGTCAAATTATTTAGGATTTTTCTTTTATTACATCATATTGTAGCTATAACAAAGTTGTAAATTTATGATCCCACTGAATGACGTGGATAAAAGAGAAATTTTTTTCAAAACCCCTAAAAAACACAGACGGTGAGACTAAAAATCCAACCCAGAAACCCGCCCGATAACCACTGATCCTCCTCCGATCGACGCCTCCACCCCCAAATAACCCTACCCCAAACCCAGATTTCGATTCCAACCACAATCCCCAATCATTGCCTCCCTTTTACTCCGACAGCTTCTATGCAGTCGGCGCCATGGTGATACCTAGCTTGAATCTCAAACAAAAAAAGTTTGAATCTAACCAAATCGCCAACAGAGAAGACTGCAGCAGCGAGGTCTAACAGATAACGGTGTAAAGTTTGGTTGCTTTTTGGCTTATGTGGCAGGTGAGATGGCATCGATTCAACATTTCGTTAGTCAATTTAACGTCGTCTGACACGTCGTTATAGTTTCAGACGAAAGTGGATAGATTTGTCACACAAGCTTCCGATTTTTGGATATTTCGTGTATTTCGATAGTTGTGGATATATTTGTCACAAACCTGATAGTTGTGGATATACAACTGTATTTTGCCTAATTTTTTTTCTCTTTTAACCCACGTCATTTTGTGGGGTCAGAAACACGCCAACTAAGCATCCATCGTCTGTCCAGTCATCAAGTTAACTGACGGAGTTAACGGAGTGGACGGAAATGGATATTTCGTGTATTTCGATAGTTGTGGATATATTTGTCACAAACCTGATAATTGTGGATATACAGTTGTATTTTGCCCTTTTTCCCTTAATAGGGTTATAGTAGTTTTCCTTGTCTGGTTAACATAGGATTGAAGTTTTTTTTTTGCCTATTTAAAGGCCTCATTGTAGCTTGTAAAGATCGAAAATTAAACTTTGATATTTAATCCTAGTTCTTGAGTTGCTACTCGTAAATTAGCTCGTGTAATTGGTGGGTTCTAGTTGCTTTGAGTGTGTGCTTTGTATCAATAAAGTAATTCCCTTGATTGTTGGCAAGCTTCTACCTATATTGATCGAGTCTTTCTTCAAGTGTGGAATTGCACGTCAATCCCATTAAATCTCAAAGCCAAAAACTCTAGTTTTGGTGAGCTTGTGTGATATAAGTCGAGGCTCTAACTCGTGAACTTAAACAATCAGAGCGCAACAAAGATCGATTAGAAGCACAACGATCACAAAACGGATAACAACCCAAACCTAATCCACGCGTCGGGAAGAGGGCTAGGTATACAAATGACTATTCGGCTAGGATGATGAGCTAGCAGAAAACGCCGGGTTCTTCTTGCAGAATCAATTCCACGATCAAGAAACAAGATGAAGAGAAGTTGGTGTTTGAACAACCAATTCTAGGGTTTGATTTCTCAATAAAATTGTTGATTACCCTCTAAAAGACTTAGTTCAGCCCCTTATATAGGCTACAAAGGTTTTGGGCAAAAAATAATAACGAAACCCGAGTTTAGGTGTAAAAGTCACATAATCCGCAAAGGAAACGCAAAACTCGTCGACAGCAACTAGGGTGAAAACCCCGACCTCTCTCCTAAATCCCCGGTTGGGGAATAGGCCTTCTAGGTCGGGGAAAATCTCTAGAACCAATCCCCGGTCTCCCCTTCAAATACCCGATCTGGTTTTGCACCTCCATGGCCGGAGAATTGGCCTAAAGCAGCCCCAACGCCTATGATCGTCACTTCTCGTCCCACAACAGCTCAAGCTCCTACGTCAAGCTTCTTTTGTGCAATTGGACTCTTCACTTCGCCTTCTCGAGCCTCTAAAGCCTTTATCTTCATACCACGATCATTGTATGCTCTTCGAACTCGATGGACGTCTTGTGAAGTGACTCGATTTGCATCATTGTGTTAATCGATCTTGTGTGGTTTAACTCCAAAGATCTCGAGCTAGAGATCAGATTAGTTCAGCTTGCGTAACTATTGGATCCACGGTGGTGTTCAAATCTCACTATTTGGCTGAGCTTGCGGCATCGCTTGAATCTTTATGTCGTTAGGCTCACAACCACGACCTTGTTTAAGTCGGAATATCATTGAGCCGTGGCATTGAACTCAGGACATGATTCACCTCTCGACTTTGGTGAACTCACTAGGTCATTGGACTTGCGATGTCGTTGAGCTCACGGCACCATCGAGCACCGTAATGTTGTTTAGCTCGCGGCATCGTGAACCTCGCCACACCGCAATAATGTTGTTTTAAGGTGAATTTATTCTTAGGTGTAAATAATATCATAGTGATGCATGGCACGAAGCATGATTTGCAAGTCAAAAGGTCAATTGGACCGTAGCTAGGCTTTGATGTGCTTTTGATGAATCGAAACTAAGATCTCACGATTGGTTTGCTTTTCTTTCTTCTCCCCACCAGTGGATCCCCATGGCGTCACAGGTTAATTCCATTCACAACTGCAGGAATGCCATTGACAAGCGGACTATTGACTGATGCTAGAGATCCCATTTGAACGCTTGAAGAAACTCAAACGCTACACCTCAACCTCTGGCAGTGTCCCGTGGTTATAATCTCAGAGGTCCAAGCCCTGAGTCATTTAAGAATACAAGTACAATCATTTAAATCACATATGAAGATAACAAATGCATGAACCTGATGCTTCGGAGCAACACTTAACCTCTTTGTCGTCTGTCAGGGATGGATGTAATGGGTGGTGATGGCATCGATATTGTCCTCGGCAGAGACCTTTTTTCGGTGATGTCGAGTACAACAGCATCCGAAGTGAGAAATGTCTTTGCCACTGATGCAGAATGCTCCAGACAACATCGTACCACCTGCTTTTCAGCTCACGTTTGGTTTGTCAAGAGTCCTATTGGGACCACTCATCCATGTTTGTAACAAAAAAAAGATCATATGAGTGCGCAAGGAAAGAAATCATGCCCATACCTTTGTTGGATCCATAATCCCTGCAGTTATCAAGTCCTCGTATCTGTTCTTTGCAGCATTATATCCATATCCTGGGTCATCATTTGACAGCACCTATAGAAATATAGTAATGTCATGTGCTGCTATTGAGTTTTGAAGTACTAAATTTAAAACTATGACAATGAGTTTCAGCGTGAATACCTGATTTATCACAACATTACCATTGACACCTGCATTGCTGGCTATTAATCTTATGGGATAGCTCAAAGCTCTTCGGAAGATTTCCGCACCAATCTAAACGTACCAAAAGCACATCAGAACTCGCCTTAACCAACTCCAGGAAGTACAACGACAATTGCGATGATATCAGGATACCTTCTGCTCGTCATTATCAAGATGTTCCTTAATCTCATCAACCTTCGTAGCTAGCCTCAAAAGGCTGCAGCCACCACCAACCACCACACCCTCTTCAATTGCAGCCTGCGATTACTCAGCCCAGGAACTCACATCTTATGATTCTATTCTTTTCTTTTTGGGACTGAGCTCAGTTCCGTATGATTTGGTATGGGAAACTTGGTAAATTTTAAAATAGACAAATTTTAGGGCTATGGACTACCTTAGTTGCATTTAAAGCATCTTCAATCCTCAGTTGCTTATCTTTCAACTCAATTACAGTTTGTGCTCCCACCTGTAATAGTAGATAAAGCAACATGAAGTTGTATTCTATGGAATCTTCACATCTTCAATACGAGGTGGCATCTCTCAGATATTTATTACCTGGAGAATTGCAATGCCTCCTGACAACCTTGAAATTCTTTCATTCAATGTTTTCCTGCATGACTTCTCCCCAGTGTTCTGCAGGAAATTTAGGAAAAGTGCATTGACATCATCTAAATTAGCCATCACCTCTTCGTTGAGGTGAAACTTTAATTTGGATGTAAGATCTCACTGAGGCGGAAAGAAACACAATATTACTGGCATGCAACTGGCAATTCTATTCATAGACAGCTACAACCAGACGGAAACTGGAAAATCTAGGATGAACTATGGTGCTATAAATTTGGCTGAAATACCTCAACAAGATTGCGCAGTTGGGAAACCCTAGAATCAACAGCTGCCTGAGTGCTTCCATCTGTAACTATCAATGTTGAGTCTTTTGTTATCACGACCTTGGTAGCAGAGCCCAATACCTCCTCGCCAGCATTTTCTAGTGTCACCCCTGCATCATCTCTGATAACAGTGCCTGCAAAGCCATCGCTACGTAAGGGTGCATAACAAAAACAAGGAACCCTGTGCAAGCTAAAGCAAACACAACTATGAACTATTGAAATTTATTCTCATTTTTCAAAAGATTTTCTCTATTTGACAACTGATCAGATAAGTTAAAGCCAAGATAATATGGATTCTAGTATCCACACAAAAAAAAGGGATAATATGGACTATGGAAGTCTGATGATGTCATAAATAAGAGGTACAATTGAAGACAAAGTTTTTCTTCACTTGCTTTTTCCTCTTTCTACCACAAGTTAGGATGAGCCACAAAAATGTTCAATTTTTAATATAAGGGTGAAATATATTAGTTTTTAACATTAGGTGCTACTTAAGGGATTAGAACATGGGACCTTCAGGTTTAAGACCAGTGGTAGAAACACTAGACCAAGCCCTTGTTAAGATGCCACTAATTCACACAAGTCCTTGCAGCCGCACATATTCCACATCTCAATTTTATGCATATTGTTAAAATCAGTATGTTCATGATAAAGGCTTGTGTTATTACCTCCGGTCAGGACAGCAATGTCGTCTAAGTAATGGCTTTTGAGCTCACCAAAGGCGGGTGCCTTAATTACTGCTGCCTTCAGCACACCCCGGAGTTTGTTTCTTATAATGGGAGCCAAGGCTTCCTGCTCGACATTCTCTGCAACTATTACAATAGGGAGCTTCTCTTTAACTGCATTGTCCAAAAATTTTAACATCGCCTTTGGATTTGTGATTATTTTGTCAACCAAAAGCAACTGCAACCAAACAATTTCAGACTCTGGTTACTACACGAATGGGACATTCACGATCAATGAGAAGTTTCCAATCTCCTACCTTGCAATCATGAAACTCCACTATCCTTTTCCTTCGATCAGTTGCAAAGTAATGAGACATATATCCGCGATTGAATTGCATTCCTTTCACGATTTGTAAACAATTCTCGGTACTTTTTCCTTGTTCAATTGTAACAACACCTTTCTTTCCCACTTGCTGAAGAGCATCAGCAATCATGTTTCCTACTGCATAGTCATTCCCTGCACCAACTGCAGCAACATCAGCAAGCTCATTATCCTCAACCTGCAATAAACGAAGATTAGTCTTAGAACTTTTACATGCATAAGCACTTTCTGTCTCTAATCACCTCCCAGAGTGGAAATTGGACACGGTGAGCAATTGCACCTCTCTTGACATGGATCTGAGTTCCAAAACAAGGGCTGTTGCAGTCTTCTCAATCCCGCGAGCAATTTGGATAGGGTTCAAACCGGCTGCAATCACCTATAAAGGAGGGAACGTTCAACATAAGCGGTTAGCACATCAGTTAGCTGGGGTGCAGAGGTCTATTTCAACCATTTTAGAGCCAGCTAGAAGCCAGAGAGAGTAAATCACTTGAAGCTATATCAGTCTCTTGAAGAAACAATGATTGCATTCAGTTTTCTCACTTTCACCCCCTCGGTGATCAGACCACGGGCGAGGATTATAGATGTAGTGGAGCCATCACCAGCAAGATCATTTGTTTTAGCACCAGCTTGCCTTATCAGCTTCACCCCAACATTTTCTAGAGGATCCTCCAATTCAATCTGAAACAGAACATACCAATTCATCGGGAAAGGCAGCGCCCAGCTATATCACAAGCATTCAGAAATGCACAACATAATGTATTGGATTCCCATGCAAATTCAGGACCCATTTGTCACCCAAACCTGTTTGAGGACAGTTTCTCCATCATTGACAATCTTGGGAGGCCCATACTTATTCTGCAACACCACATTCCTTCCTTTAGGACCCAGAGTAACCCCAACCAGCTCTGCCACCAGTTCCAACCCTGCCTGATGATGAAACCCTATCAAAACAAATTAAGCAAAATTCTAGAGAGAAGCCAAATTTTCCAACTGGGTTTTCAAAGTTCCAGTAACCAGAAGCTTCTTCGTGGTGGACCCATCATGGTTGAAATGCAGCTCCTTCGCCATGGCCCTTGTGTTCAGAGCGGGAGAAAGTGATGCACAGGGTATCCTCCTTCTGGGCCGTTTGGCTTTGTTGAATGATACGGCAGAAATTGGGGACTGAATGGACGCCATTGTTGGAGTAAAGATTTTCCACGAATTTTCTTTATTTTGAGGTCGTGCACAATTCTGAAGGATAAGGGAGAGGGTGCCGCCGGCGAGTCGGGTTAATTCAACTTCTATTCGAAAAAGAAAAAGTAAAACTCATAGTCCTAGTAGCGTCAACAAAACTAGGGGTGTTTAAAGGATTGGTTAACGTGGTAACCATATTAACCGGTAGCGTTCGGTTAATTTGGTTTTAGATATGGCAATCGGGTTGGGTTGGGTAATTTCGGGTTGGAGACTTCGGTTATGGGTCGGATCATGTTTGGTTGGCTGATTTCGGGTCAAATATTGACCCAACCCATTCGGTTTCGGGGTCGGGTTACAGGTCATTTCGGGTTATGAGCGTTCTCAGAAACTAGGGGTGTTCAAATGGTTACCATGGTAATAACCAAACCAATTAAGCCTAAATTTCATTAACCATGGAATAAAATATCTTAACCAAACCGTCCAAATTAACACGAAAACCAAATTAACCAAACCAAAGTTTAATTGGTTTGGTTAATCGGATAATTTGAATTAACCAAATAACATAACATTACATGAAAACAATTATCCTGTTAATGAATAAAACATAACCATATGTTGTTACAATCATAAACTATCATTATATATAAGCAATAATAATAAGACTAACCATCCATGATTATCATCGCCATTCGAGTTAATACATCATTTATCATCTATGCACATAATATAATTAACTTACAACAAACCAGTTAACATAAATACATGCTTATACCCTCATATGGAAGTTAAAGCTCTCCTACAAAACACTTAAACTATACATAGTATTGTACCTAATCCTAAAGTCTAGTAGTTGTCCAAAATGTTTTGGTTTAGTAAATAGGTAGACCATTTAATTTTTGACTCATAATGTTTTGGTTTGTTGTGCACATGGAAATAAAATAGGGAATCACTAAAGTTTGGTTTGGTTGGTTGCATGGAAGTATGAATAATTTTGTATATTAGGTGTATCATTAATTGGTTAGTAGTATTGAAACCAAACCAAACCACCTAAACCAAATAAGCTAAATTATTTAATCAAACCAAACTAAATCAATTATCCAAATTAACCAAACCAAATAGACATGGCAAATTACAACCCGACCCGTTGACCCGACCCGAAACCGCCCGAAAACTAGAATTTTTTTAACCCGAAATCCGAATGACCCGAACCCGATAACTCGTGATTTTTTGGGTCGGGTTGAGTGGGTTAGCGGGTTGACCCGTTAGACCCGTTCCATTTTATATATTACTGTCAAAATGATAAAATCACTCATAAATTGGTGAGATGTTTAAAAAAAATCTCAAGGATTTGAATGACATGCTTTGGATTTTAAGGATTATCAAATATCATGTGTTTCTTGTATTAGTATTACTCTTGTGATTGTTTTTTGACTATTTGCACAATTTGTATTTCATTTCAATAGTTTGGGAGGATTTGATAATATGTTAATTGACATGTGTTAGGTAAACTATTGTCATGCATATTTGAAAATTTGAGTTCTATAAGAAAATATGAAGCATGTTTGATATTGTTTCTGATAGGGGTGTTCAAACGGTGTGGTTACCATGGTAACCGTTTTAACCAGTACTATTTGGATAATTTGGTTTGGTTAATTTGGATAATTGGTTTGGTTTGGTTAAAGTTCTTAGCTTGTTTGGTTTAGGTGGTTTGCTTTGGTTTCAGACACTCCTAACCAGCCAAACCAAAATAACCAGATAAATAATTAGTCATATATCTAATATATACACATACTTAATACTTTGAATAACCACTCAAGAATTAAACATTCATCCCTTTTAGACTCATAAAATATAAAGCTTGATATCGTTCCTATAATGTATATTTGTATATGTAGAGTGTAGACCACAACATATAAACGCCTAGTTTAGATAAATCTCATACATTATGTTGGATGAAAACTTGAAAGCAAGGTCCTTTTCAGCCTATGAAAATTGCTAAAAGACTAAGTCAATTCAAACAAACACAACAATTCATTAACCCATACCATTGTGATAAATTTTTGTTAGGTGAATACTTCTCTACTAATCGTAAGATAATTGTCTTAGTTGCATGTATTTATGTTAAGGGTCAACTATAATTATATGTTGATGGTTATGTTTTATTCATTATATAAATTTTGAATTGATAAATTAATCGAAAACTTTCTCACTTAATGATAATGTGATTTTATATTGGTTAAGCTGGTTAACCAATTAACCAAACTGATTAAAGTTTAGTTTGGTTAATTTGTTGTTGTATTAGTTTGGACGGTTTGTTTATGATATTATATTCCATGGTTAATGAAATTTAGCCTTATTTGGTTTGGTAATAACCATGGTAACCATTTGAACACCCCTAGCTAATACTGAAGTGGGCAATAGACAAACAAACACATATCCATTGTATATACTAAGCAGGAAAACCCATGAGCTTTATGACTTTAAACAAGTAATCACAATGCACAGAATCAAAAGCTTTCATTATATCTACATTAATGGTTGATCTAGATGAAAACGTTTGCTTATTACATCCACTGACAAGTTCTTGAGAAAGCAAAATATTATCCATTATTCTTCTTCCCGGAGTAAATGCAGTTTGGTTAGGGCTTATAACTAGATGCATAAACTCTTTCAACCTATTAGCCAACAACTTTGAGACCCCTTTATAAAGAATATTCACACATGAAATTCACCGAAAATCCTTTAGGATTTCCGCATTAGGAACTTTTGAAATCAAGGAAACTGTAGTAGCGTTTATACCACTCAACATACGACAAGAGACAAAGAAATCCAGAATACCTGTTATGATGTCCTCTCAAATAATATGCCAAGTGCACTTATAGAAACCCTCCGAGAAACCATCAGGTCCAGGGGCTTTTGAGCTATTAAGATGGAAGAACACCTCCTTTATATCCTCTGACTGGATAGGAGCACACAATAGCTGGATTGCCTCTGCAGAAAGACGCCCTTTAATAAGTGGTCTAAGCAATTCTTCATCTGCCTGCACCTCCTCATTCACTCTGCCAAAGAGCTTTTGATAGAAATTAACCACTTCATCAGCAATATGCTCCACCTCTACCACCTCCTCACCTGTTTCTGTAACCAGTTCCGAATAGCCTTTTTTGAATTATTAATTTTTACAACTTGATGGAAAAAATGGAGTGCCCTTGTACCCTTTAGTCAACCAATTAACTCTCGATTTCTTCCAATAAAAGCTCTCCTCCTGTTGCTTAATCACATCATATTGCTTCTGCATTTCATCTCGTGCTTTGAAAGTATCATCATCAGGAGAGTCAAGAGATTGATGTACGAGTGTCATTAATGGTTGCTCTATCATTTAACCTGCTCATTGATGTTACCAAATACATCCATATTTAATTGACGAAGGGTCTTCTTAACAACCTTAAGCTTGCAGTGTACTATGTACCAAGGACAACCCATAACAGGAATACTCCATGCTTGCTCCTCCCTTGGCTCGCAACCAAGCACATCATCACCACACCAACAATGACGCTGATGTGAGGAAGGCGCCACGACGAGGATGTCGTGAATTTGGTGGGGAAGAATGTCATGGGAAGATTCTAGAAGACTCTAGAATGATGTAGGTACATGCATGCATCTTCATATTTATGCACCAACGTACATGCATACACTTTATTTATTATGATTCATGTATGGGTGACCTTATTAATTATCATTCATGTATGGGGCTAGTTCATGTATGGTGAGACTTCTAGGTTCATTCATTAATGATGGCCTACATACATTGTACCTAGTGGAGAGGATGCCTATATAAGCATCCATCTCCCCCACTTTTCATTTTTCCAGAAATCGACAGCTTTCCATCTCTAGAGTTTTCTCCCAACTTGAGAGTTTGAGTGAATGCGAGCTAGGCTGACTTAGTGCTTTAACGAGACTTGAGTGCTAAGTGCCTCACGACCAAGAGTTGGTCTGTGACAGCGGCCGGTGGAGGACTCACGATCTCAAAGCGTTGGGACATGCACAACGAGGACCCTGCAACTGCTGCCCGGTGGGGAGATATGCTCCGTTGGCTGATGACACCGCCGTCGTTGGGGATGAAGGTGTTTGACTTCTTCAATAATTGTTGCTAATTATTAGCTAAAAATTAATTTAGTATCAGGGTTGGGAACAATACATCATGGTCGAGGCCATGCCTGGTCTCTCGCTGTGTAATTTTTGTATTTGCTTCAGACTTAGACGCTTGAGAGAGAGAGAGAGTAATGCATAAGAGGGTGAGGGAATGAAGATTTCGATTTACGAATTACGAACGTGATTAACTTAATAGAAAGGTAAAAACCCCCCGGTGAGAAAACAGGCTGCACACACCCGTCAGGTCGACCGTTACAAGGTTACCGGGTTGAAGGTCATACGGTGTCGTTTTTCTTTTGATTTGTAAAATGCGCCTATTTTTAGTTTTTCCTCTTCGCCTGACCCTGTTTTTTGAATTCTAAGTTGAACATGTGAATATGGATGATATATATTGATGCTATTACTCATATGTTGGATGGGATTTGATATAATTTATAAATCTATTAACAATATAATGATTTTTTCATATATTCGGGCTAAACCAGACTAAAGCGAGTGAACCGTTAATCCTCAACCCATTTGCTCGACAGGGCCAATGCACTAAATTGGGTTGACAACCTTGCTTACTAGTCTCTCTCTCGTGCCCCTACAGAAAATACGTTTTTCTGTTTCCATGTTCATGTGGATAGGATCTCACATCTCGAGCCCAAATCAACTGCATATTAGCTTGATCTTGCCATAGTTAGTAGGTGTATGGATGTGGGCGAATAATTAGCGATTCGATATCGATCTACTAGCATATAATTCAAATTAAAGTGGGTGGTTAATGTGAGTGGATCGTGGATTGAAAATTTTCTCCTCAAACCTCTCCCAGTTCTTCTCCTCCTTCCTCCTACACACGATCATCGCTGCCAAATCCAACCTCGTCGTTGACCTTTTTTCCCTTTAATGCAATACCAACCTAAATCTAGCGTAATCCACCTTGACGACACTCAATCTCCTGCTTCCTAACTTCCACAAAAACCCTCGCTCGTACTCTCTCATCTTCTTCGATGCCAAGTAGATTCATAAAAAGTGCGAGCTCCACCTCCGGATCTCCATCGCGAGTTCACTCACCTTGCATGTTCCTTAATTACCAACAATCCCAACAGTGACAAGCTCATCTTCAGCGACTGATAACACTATATTTGCACATGTTTTTTCAGGCATCTCTTGGTCGTTTAGCTTGGTTATTGATCATTCCTTGGGCTATTTTACGCTGGTATGTGCTCATTTGATATATTTCAGGACATAACAAATAGAAGAAGGCTTGGGCGCAAGTTTCAGGATAATCGGAGGTCAAACGAGCTCAAACGAACCTTAGGAGTGCGTGTTGGATGATGTGTATGGCCGTGTAAGGTAAATGCACGACCATGCAAGGTTTCCACAGAGTTTGCATGGTCAAAAATTCAATTTGCACGACCATTGGATGGCCGTGCACGGTCCCTCGTCTAATTCAAGTGAAACGATGCGTTTCTATGTGCTCGGGCTGGAGGGTTAAGTTGCACGGTCGTGCATTGCTTGTGCAAATGTGAAGTTGCTAATTTAACCAAATTTCGTGTGTTTGAGAAGGGATTCAATCTTTGGAGCTGAAAAGAGAGTTTTAGAGAGAGAAAGTGATGAAGAGTGAACCTTGAGTGCCGTAGATCAAGTCTCTCCACCATTGGAGCTCGATTCACGCCTTTAGGGGTGGTGATTGATGACTCGGAGTAGATTTCTTCCGTCTGCACAATGATTTCCACATCCGGCTTTGCTTTCGACTCTCTCTCCATGGAGTAATCCCCTCTGTCACTTGGGTATGTAAGAACCCTAGATTGTATGTTAGGAAGACTTGTATGAACCCTTTGTCATGAATGATTGAATATCTTTTATCTTATTAAGGCATTGATTCAGAATTACTTGAGTCCTGATCAAATTCTTGTGATTCCTGCTTTGACCTAGAATGATAGTATTAGTAGGTACTCAATGTCGCAAACAGAGCATATTGTTTTTGTAATGCCACGACCCCAACAATTAGTCGTCATAGGAAACTAGAACAATAACAATCTTTCCTCCACCCATGAAACCTTCACCTATGTAGGAATTTCCCTACTAGATTGTTTTCCCATCTATGAATCCCCTCATCAATCACTGACTTAGGTATGTGTAGAGACCCGTTGACAATTTTTGGCTCATAGTACTCTAATCATATATCCTCTGATGCACCGAATAACAAGGCATGCGATCTACCGTCGATGCCCAATGAGGCCTCGTCACTCGTCAGCGACGACTGCCATCGAAAATAAAATCAAAACTTATTAAAAGATCATCGAGAGAATTTGAATGCCATTTTATTTTCCCCATTTTTGGACGTTTCAAAATAGTTGAACAAGTTTTTTTTTTTTTGTGTGGAGGAGATGGTGTTTTTTTTTTGGAAGTATGAATTTTTGGTAAAAAATTGATTTATTATAATAAATATCGTGTCTGACTCTGACATTTACGATCGGCGATTAAACATAATTTGATTATTGTTAGTTCAACTTTTAAATCTAACCATCAACGGAAACCCTTGGAAAAAATGAAGCTCAACTTAATTGATTAAAATATTCCAATTTCTATTGAAAGCAATTTCACTATTATAAGAAAAGTTGTGTACATTATTCTTGTTAACCCGCCTAATGCATACAGTCTGGATCACGTGCTTGCTGGGCGTACAAAAATAAAATATTTCGCAGATCCCCCGATGGCGGTTACAACAAGGAGAAGAGAATTCGGGATTCATTCCCGAGAAGTAGCGCAAAAATAGAGGACCAAATTGTAAACGCATATGCTCACACCAGTCTAGGCATGGCAAAAATATCGATAACCATGAATATTCGCCTGAATTCGAACTAATTGGGTAGGGTAAAACTCGAACCCGAAAGATATTTTGTGAATATTGCGGGTAATGGGTGGCATGAGTTTCTCACTATCCAACCCGAACTCGCCCGATGATCCAAATGCATATGTATTTTGTCTAGAAATAATCATTATTTTTCTCTGAAATATTTTATATTTAGCATATAAATATAATATCTTCATGAAATTGTGTTGTTTTAATTAATTTTGTTCATTCTAGTGAACTATTGTCGTACTTTCCTCTTAAGTAATGTGAGAATACGTGTGAATGTTAACATATTTGTTGGATTTATGAAGAGATATTACCCATAAATAACCGTGGGTATCCGAAACCCGAACGGGTATGGGCATGATTTTAATTTTCTACTCATTTCACATGTGGGTATGAATATGGGTAAAACCCAAACTACTTTGAGTAGAGTAACGAATATGCATTATCTGTCCCAACCAAGGTTGTCAACCCGCGGGTTGACCCGGACCCGGTCGAGTTAGTGGGTCAAGGGTTAATGGGTCAACCGTTTTAGCCCGGTTTGGCCCGGAAATATAGAAAGAGTCATTATATTGTACTTATCCTCATAAATTATATCAAATCTTATCTAACATATGAGTTATAACATATAATATTACACCAAAATAACATATCGTACTTAGATCCAACATATAGTGAAAATTCACACACTTATATAACATAAATATTCAAATGTTCAACTTAGTATTCCAAAGATTGAGTTAGGCGAAAAGAAAAATTGGAAAATAGGCACATTTCGCAAACTAAAGAAAAAAATAACACAATTTAACCTCCAACCCGATACCTAATAGCGGTCGGTCCGGCGAGTGCGTGTGACCCATTTTTATCACCGGGTCAGGGTTAAATTGGGTCGGCCCGTAGGTCAACCCGCAGGTTGACAACCTTGGTCCCAACCCAACCCAACCCATTGCCATCCTACACCAGCCAGCCAACACAGCCCATCGTTTTTTATAATTGGTCCTATTTATCACTACTGAACAAAGGGAAGAGAACGGCAAAACGCAACTCCTGTTCGCGTCTTCGTCCGTCGTTTGTGTAATTTTAGATTTCCAGTGACGGCGAAAGGAGGCCACTCTTGCCCCGCTTTCACTTCTTCCTCAGCTATCTTGGCTGCAATTTTTTGTGACAAAGTTTGCCACTGTTGCTCGGATTCTGGAGATGGGGTTCGCCGAGCTTCTGAATTCGATTGACTGGGAACATGAATCGTATCCAGCTTACGAAGATTATATTGTTCTTCCGCTTTTTGCTTTCTTCTTCCCCACTGTCCGGTTCTTCCTAGACAGATTCGTATTCGAGGTACTCTTGCTTCTGGGTTTCTGGATTTCCATTCGTACTTCTGCTGCTCTCCCGCTTCTTTTAGGTTCCAGCTGACTTAGAAACTTTGTTGGCCCTTCTTCCTTCTTGGTGCATTGGCACATTCTCTTTTGGCTTTTGGAGTCTGTTTGCTTCTGCTTGCTAGGGTAAACTCGTTTGTGTATTCAGGTCCCTGAATTCAGCGTGTAGCTTTTGTTTACCGGGTCGTTGACATTTTGCTTATGTTTCCTGCTCAACTTAATTCTCTAGATTCGGCGAACGGTTGTGAATCTAGAGAACAATGGCTGGAATTTAGGTTGATCTGAATATATCCACTAGGTAGTGCTCATATGGGTTCATTCAGAAGTTACTAGATTAGAGAATAGAGAAGTGAAAGTCTTCAGGCACGCCGGGTAGTACTTCACTTGGATGTTGCAGAATATTCCTCAAGCTTAATGGCTAACTTTTCAGAAACTTGATCAGCTTCTATGTTAAGGCTGATCATGCGTTCTGAAACTTTCTCCAAGATTATCAAACTTAAAGGTGATCGTGCATCTCCACTATGCTTGTTTTTCCCATTGGGCTTTAGTACACACAATCGGGATCCTGATTCAGTTGGCTTAGGTTCCTGGCAAGTGGAGCTTAGTCTGTTGGTGCCAGCATCTACACGAGTGTTTATGCTTTACACAAGTCTATTTGTGGTTTCTCCTAGGGCAATCTATCTAAGTGATGCATGGTCTGAAAATATTCTTTTGAATCTTGATCTCTGGCTCTATCAATTGAGGTTTTCAGTAGTCGTGGGCAGTAGTATCCCTATGAAACAAGGGTCCACGCCTATGGTTCAGTTACAATAATAAGTTTTATAATTTGACTCTGATGGGTCATTTTGTGGAACAGCTGATTCATTTTCTTTTACATCTTTTCTCTTTCTGAACTTCTCTCTGTCTATAGACTTGTTATCAGGAATGAGGTAACATAGGCAAGGAAGCTACGATTTGAATTCAGATTAATGTTTATGGTTCATATCATTTAAAAAGATCGTTTGGCAGCTACACTGAAAGCATGATTTATACCGAATGGCCACAGATATCTGTATGTAGAATCTTAGTGTTGCCTCTCTCATGTGGACTGTGTTAGTCCTATCTGTGCTAGTATTTTCCCGGTCATAGTATTCTGCGGGCATGCTGAAACATGACCTACTTTTTGGCTTATCTGTATTGTGTTTCTGTTCTTTCAACAGTTTCTTTACTTAGATATTGCCCTTATAGCTTAGCTTTCCTATTCCAATTTCCACATAAGTTATCTTCAGTATATCTGTAAAAGTGATGATAGCATTAACCTTTATGTTCTTGTTGGGATGTGTGATTGCCACACTCACAAACAAAATATACATAAATAAAGTTCCACAATGTCCATGTGACTAGTTAACTACTACCGAAAAGGTTTCACTTTCTTCGTGAAATACATGGTATTGTTTAGGTTTTCCAATCCTAATGAAGTACTGAACTCTCTGTGATTACCTTCACCTCACGAGGAGTGCTTTTGTTCCCTCCATTTTCTTGTTAGTTTTGAACAACAGAAATACAAAGTGACAAGGATACCTTTTCCTTTCCAGATTTGGATAACTAAATTTCTAGAATGTTCAATGGTTATGCTTCATGAACTGCAACTTCCATTAGAACTCGATCGGCAAACGAACTGGAAAAAGGCTTTGCTGTTTTTTTCTGCTGCTGTTCGAATACTACTATTCTCTCATAACTGTTGCATATTAGTTAACCTCCTCCCGTCTCTCTTCTTTCTCTTAGCTCACTCATTTTCTCTACTTGGTGAGTCTGAAGTTAATGTCCATGTTGCAGAAAGTGGGGAACAGATTGATATTTGGAAAGGGATATCAGATTGTGGAGGATGATTCAGCAGACAGAAAGAAGAAGATAAGAAAATTCAAAGAATCAGCATGGAAATGCATCTACTTCCTTTCAGCTGAGATTTTAGCTTTATCTGTCACTTATAATGAGCCTTGGTTTACAAACACAAAAAACTTTTGGGTGGGACCAGGAAATCAAGTCTGGCCAGATCAACAAATGAAGTAAGAATTTGGAAGTACACATGGGAGCTCTATAACTTTTATTGGTATCTTATTTAGCAGTTCGTCATAATTCTTATTGGATTTATCCAACTGCCAAAACTGAACAAAAACTCTTTTGTGGAATTTCAGGTTAAAGTTGAAAGGATTATACATGTACACTGCTGGATTTTATACATACTCAATATTTGCTCTCATATTTTGGGAGACAAGGCGTTCTGACTTTGGGGTCTCCATGAGCCATCATGTTGCTACCGTCATTCTCATTATTCTATCCTACATATTTAGGTACCTAAAGGCAGAGTTGCATTAATATGCATATTGTAGTCTTTGGTTTGGGGGGGATGGATGGGATATAATTGATTAAATTTGTTCCTTTGGTTGCAGATTTGGTCGTGTGGGCTCAGTTGTCTTAGCTCTTCATGACGCTAGTGATGTATTCCTGGAGGTAGGAAAAATGTCCAAGTATAGTGGTGCTGAAGGCATAGCAAGCTTTGCATTTATTCTTTTCGTATTATCGTGGATCTTGCTACGGCTCATCTACTATCCATTTTGGGTCCTCTGGAGTACAAGGTTTGTACACTTAGATGCCTAAGTCATACTATCTTAGCTCTTGATTTATAATTTGTCTACGGGCCACTGTTGCTGACATAAAATTTTATCTCCGATGGTGCTATTCTGAGTATTATTTCAGAAGCTTATGTATAATGTATCTACAGCTTTGCATGAACTTACCATGACTGACTGTCGCTTGACCTGAGAAAGACTGCATTTATTATTTTATTTGTGGAAAATCAATGAAGGCTTAGGCTTAACACATACATGCCCTACACAAGCTAGGTGATGTTTCAGCTTCTATACCGGTAATGTTGTCATGTGGAGAAGTCAGGTAGTGTGCGAATTGAGTTTCTGGTGGTGTCGTATAGATGATCTGTCCGCTAAATCGTGCACAAGACTAGCTCGAGCTCAGGTCATGCTCATTGACTTCTAGCAAATAAAATGAAGTCAATCTCAAGATGGGTGGTTGATGACTGATGTACAACAACCTGAGTAATACTGTAACCTAAGGTTGTTATATATTGACTGTATCATGAGTCGAGCTTCACCGAAGAATAGTAGCTGATATCTTTCTCTGTCTTAAGACCTTGAGTTAGATTATTCCGTCCCTCTCCAAGATACGGGCGAGAATACATTGCTCCTGTTATACGGGCGAGAATACATTGCTCCTGTTTTAAGATTCCTTTTTTCACTAAGTGTGGCTCATCTTACTTTCTTAACTCAATTGCAGCTATGAAGTTGTCTTGACGTTGGACAAGAAGAGGCATGACTGGGAGGGTCCGATCTATTATTATGTGTTTAATTCTCTTCTATACTGCTTGCTTGTGCTTCACATATATTGGTGGGTCTTGATCTACCGGATGCTGGTCAGGCAAATCCAAGCAAGGGGACAACTAAGTGACGATGTTCGGTCTGGTAAGCTAAACACACCAATGATACACAGATGTGGAATTTTTAGAAAAAACTGATCTATTGTTCTGGTGTGTGCTTGCTTGCAATATGAATCGGGCTCAGTAAGTTGGGATTGAATTGGTTCTGTTTAATATAGAAAAGCCTATACTATGTGACTGGGAAAAACAATGTTGACTAGAAGTGTGCTTGAACAGTACTTTATTTCAAACTCTACCAAGCAAAAAAAAAAAAAAAAAAAAAAACTCTCTTTCAGATATTTCCTTCATAGGTCTATGCAGCTTATCTGAGTTTGGATTGATAGACTTCCTGAACACTTCTTCAGTGAAAATCAATTCACTTTAAGTTATGCACTGCAAACAGTAGGATTACTGCTTTTAGTTATTTCAGCTAGCTTTAGATGCAAGGTTAGCACTAAAATGTCCTTCCAATGTACTTCCATTCTGCAGATTCTGAGGGTGAAGGTGAACATGAAGATTGACTGAACTTAAAATGCAGTACCCAGAACAGACATGAAGGTACTCTTAGATCTGAAAACCAGAAAAAATGGTCCAACTTCTTGTCACATTTATGCAATGTCTCTTTTTTTTAGTTCCTTACAACGGCTTGGAAATACCTCCAAGAAACATGATCGTATAGGCAATTGGTCAGTTTCTCTTATTGCTTAGAATGCGACTGTTCCTGAGATTCTCAAACCCATTCCTTGCCTTCCTACATATTGACAGGTGTTCGATTTGGGGGGTTTCATGTAATGAAATGTGATTCAAGGAGATAACCCTTCGCAATTAGAAGGGATTGTATATGGGAGTTGACGCAGATTGCTGAAGGAGATGAATACTAGCAATAGAAGAGTAGTGGGGAAATCCATTCTCCAGTAGCTCTGACGGTCAATGATTTGTTGTATGAAAGGTTTTTTTTTTGTTTTCCTTTTAGTTTGTTCCTGTGTAGTAGGACTGACACTGAGATTAAGATACTACATTTGTAAGATATGATCCCAGCGGCCAATTTGTGGAGCTTATTCTTTCGAATTATCTTCCTTTCCTTTTTTGTTTTGTCCCCATTTTTCTGTCCTCTTTATCATCATAAGTACGGAAACCAGAGCATTCCGTTTCTCGGATCTCACATGTTGTGTCATATTCGAGAGTTTTGGTTATGAACTGATGATGATGGTGTTGATGAGTCAGTTTTATCATACATTGGCGATATTTGGGCAGTACAATGTGTTGTTAGTAAACGGTATGTGACGCACGATTGAACCTCTTCTAACAACTCGAGTTATTGAGATCAACTGGTTTTTGACATGGTATCAGAGTCTTCTGTGACCGGAAGGTCTCTTATTCGAATCCCCATGACCCCATATGTTACGGTTAAGCACATGATGGTCTTTTGTCAGTGCCCTAACATTTATCACCTTTTTGAACTGAGATTGGTAATAACTGATAAGACATTACCTCGCAGAAAATTTTATTTGTGTTGGGACAATCATTAAAGCATTTGGGCCTCTGAGCCCATGACCACCAAAAAGGCCCAATAAAGCAAACAAGCCCAATCCAGAGAAATAGGAGGCGGTCTATGGGTCTCACCTAATAAGACCGCCTAGCATACAACGGAAACAAAGCAGGACGCCCGACAGAGGATATAGTCAACACCCTGACAACAAGGTACGGATACTGAACAAAGTACGGATCTGACCAGGCATTTATGAGAAGTCAGAGGCGGTCGAAGACCGCCCGACACAGTGTCAGACCGCCCGACAAAGCGTAGCTTGTCCTCACTCCTAGACCCAACTAGTATAAATACCCAGCAACGGATCACATTTATGGTAACTTCTATCTACCCCATTCTCTCTCTATTTCACTCTACCTACTTCTCTCACTAACTTAGGCATCGGAGGAGGTCCCAGGGCTCCCCTGAGGACCTTTGTTGCAGGACTTCGAAGGTCGCCTCTCATCCTCCCAAGACCGCACGGAGTCAGTGAGCTTCACAAACCGCCCGGCACTTTCCAGGCATAAACATTTTGGCGCCCACCGTGGGGCCCACTACTTCGTCACCAGGAAAAGATGGGAGACGACTTTGAAACCCCGCTCAAGGGTATGACCGAGAACAACACCCTCCGAGGTCTATCACCGAGAGTTGAAGATGAATTAGAGCTTGAGGAGGTAGTCAAAAGCCAAGGCGCACAAATTGCAAGCATGCAAGGTAGCCTATCGCAAATCTTCCAGTTGCTAAAGACAAGAGAAGACCCGCCCGAGGGGTCGAAAGGAAGGACTCGAGAAGAAAAGCTAAAGGCCGCCCTGATCCTCGACAGCCCTGCTCGGACAGAAGGCGGGGGACAGGGGGCGGACGAAGCCGATCTGGGTTTCCTCGAGGAACACTTACGGTCGACTTACGGGAAACACAAAAGTCCCAACGTCCTCCAAAATCCGCTCTCTAGGGAGCTGTTCAAAACCCCAGTACCGCCCAATTTCTCCTCTCTTGGGCTACCCTCGTATAACGGGACCTCAGATCCCGCCGACCACCTTTGCGCTTTCATGTTGAAGATGCAACTCATCAACGCCACAGACTCTGATTTGTGCCGCGCGTTCCCCGTCACCTTCAGCGGTCAATGCCGGACGTGGTATACTTCCCTCCCGGAAGGGGTGATAGAAAACTTCGAACAATTCGCGATGCTTTTCTCCACAAAGTTCGCGTCCCAACGACGCCGCAAACTCACGGTCTCGGCGCTCATGAATTGCAGACAGAAGAAAGAGGAATCGCTTGCGGAGTTCTACGACCGATGGAATGCGATCGCTTGCGAAATCGACGGGATCTCTTCGGTCGTAGCCGCCGGAAACCTCAGGATATCAACAACCAGCCTCGAGCTCAAGAGAACGTTGATAAAAAAGGAAGCCATGTTAACGTCATGGTCAGACTTAGATCAATTGGTAAGAAGAGCCATCTTACTTGAAGAAGCTCTCGCCACTGACGACCGAAACCATCAAGGGCGATCCCGAAACGACCCACAAGAGCGGTCGGACGCTCGATGAGGAAGGCGGTCTCCTGAGCGGAAATCGTATCGAAACCGGCACGCAGACCGCGACGGTAAAAGAGAAGTCTACTCCACCGAACGAGAAAGAGGAAGAGAAAGACGAAGGAGCGGGAGAAAACCGGAAGCGTCCTCAGGGCAGGAACCACAAGAAGGAAAAAAGTGGTGCGACTGGCATCAAATGACGACTCATGACACAACGGAGTGCCGGGAGTTCAAAGCCAGCTTGAAGTACTTAGCTCCTGGAGATCTGCGTAACCGCCTCGAAACACGACGAAGTCATCGGGGCAACTCTCAAGAGGGAAGGGAAGATTCCCTCAGCCCGGAGGAAGACAAACCAAGAAGAGCTCGTAAAGAGAGGTCCAGATCGCCCACAAGGAACAAGAACGCCTCGCCGCAGAGGCAGTCTCCCGCATACCGACCCCCAAGGGGAGATGACGATGGCATGGAGATCATTACGATCGCAGGGGGTAGGAAGCGGCCCAGAACGGAGGCCGACCGCCTAAGCCACTGCTTAAGCGTCCAACGCCAGGTATCGTCGGACGTCACCTTCCTACCTTCAGAGCTAGCCAAAGAGGAGAACTCAGAAGACCCCTTAGTCATCTCGTTCCGAACCGATAAGTTCAAAGTCACAAGAGCCCTCGTCGACAATGGGAGCTCCGCTGATATCCTCTTCTACTCAGCGCTCCGAGGCATGAAGAAGAGTATCCAAGACCTCAACCCCTCCAACACCAGCTTAGTAGGATTTTCGGGGACGAAGGTCCGTGTCCTTGGGTCAATCACACTCAAGGTCACCATAGGCGAAGGAGGAATCACCAAAACCAAGCAGGTGGAGTTCCATGTGGCGGATTGTCCGTCAGCTTACAATGCCATCCTGGGACGCGGTTTCCTGGCCTCATTCGAGGCGGTCGCTTCAACATGCCATCAAATGCTGAAATTTCCAAGTGGAGGGCAGACAAGACGCGTCCGGGGCAACGTGAAAGAGGCAAAGGAGTGCTATCAAGCGACCATTGAACGTCTAGAGGTCGACCTCGTCGACGCCAGAGACGACGTTCCCCGACCTGAAGCCGTGGAAGGAGATATAGCGGTTCCCCTAAATGAAGATCAACCAGACAAGACCGTCCGCATCTCCGCGCATTTGGCCGCTGAGGAGGCCCGAAAGCTATTGACACTCCTCCGAGAGTACCAAGACCTCTTCGCCTGGGGACCGGAAGACATGCCCGGCGTCCCCCGAAAGGTGTCTGAGCATCACCTCTCCGTCAAAAGCAAAGCACGGTCTATACAGCAACGGAGAAGACACCTATCCGTTGAGAAACAAATGGCTCTCGAAGAAGAAGTTCGAAGACTGCTCAAAGCGGGGTTCATCCGTGAGGTAAAATATCCCACTTGGCTTTCAAACCCAGTCTTTGTACGCAAGGCAGGGGGCACCTGGAGAATGTGTATCGACTTCACCAGCCTCAACGCGGCTTGCCCTAAGGATGCATACCCTCTCCCGCGCATTGATCAGCTGATCGATGGAACCGCCAACCATGAAGCGCTCAGCTTCCTGGACATGTTTTCGGGGTACCATCAAATCAAGATGGCAGAGGGCGACCAAGAAGCGACTGCCTTCATGACCCCGATGGGCAACTTCTGTTACGTGGTCATGCCCTTCGGACTCAAGAACGCAGGGGCAACCTATCAACGAATGGTGGATGCGGTCTTCAGAGATCAAATGGGAAGGAACGTGGAAGCTTATGTTGATGACGTGCTAGTCAAGAGCAAGAAGGCCAGCGACCACCTCTCCGACCTACGGGAAACCTTCGAGACCATGAGACAGAGGAATCTGAGGCTCAATCCACTCAAATGCGTCTTCGGGGCCGAAGCGGGAAAATTCCTTGGCTTCATGATCACAAAGCGAGGAATAGAAGCCAATCCAAAGCAGATCGAGGCTATCCGCAACCTGAAGCCGCTGAAGACAATCAAGGAAATCCAGGCCTTCAACGGCAAGATGGCCGCATTGGGAAGATTCATTCCGCGGTCTGCAGACAAGTGCTCCCCCTTCTTCCAAATGCTGAAGAAGTCAGCCTCAAAACTTCAGTGGGGCGCTGAGTGTGACAAAGCTTTCGCTCTACTGACAAACCAGCTCAGCTCACCTCCAATCTTAAGCGCCCCCGTAGGTGGCGAGCGACTTTATCTCTACCTCGCGGTGTCGGAACAGGCTGTGAGCTCCGCCTTAGTACGAAGAGCGCAAGATGGCTCTGACCAGCCCGTCTACTACGTGAGCAAAGCGCTTCTACCCGCCGAGACAAGATACATGCCGGTCGAAAAAGCGGTCCTCGCCATCGCCTCAGCAGCTAGAAAGTTAAGACCGTACTTCCAAGGACACCCCATCACGGTGTTAACCAATCTGCCTCTCAAAAGCGTCATGCGGGGCATGGACGCATCGGGAAGACTAACAAAGTGGGCGGTCGAGCTCAGCGAGTATGACATTGAATATGCTCCAAGACCAGCCATCAAGGGCCAAGTCCTGGCCGATTTCATCGCCGAAGGCTTCTCTATCATCTCCCCTCCCTCCGAGGAGCGCAACCAGATCTGGCGCCTGCACGTTGACGGAGCAGCGGGAAAAACCGCCTCGGGGGCAGGGATAGTCATAGAATCGCCCGACGGAGTCATCCATGAAATCTCTCTACGGTTTAAAGACATCAAGACCAACAACGCCGCAGAATACGAAGCCCTCATCAATGGACTGGCGGTGCTCACCAATATGGGCGCATCCGACGTGCATATCTACTCTGATTCCCTCCTGGTGGTCCAACAAGTGCATGAGGCGTTCGAGATCAAGGATGAGGCGCTGGCCGTCCTAGCCGGCAGGGTCAAGAGCGCTCTAGCTCAATTAAGCTCCTGGAAGCTCGAGCACGTTCGAAGGGACGACAACCAGCACGCCGATGCGCTCTCCAAGCTGGCAACCGCTATGGATTTCGAGGGCGACCGCCACGTCACGGTTACCAAAGAGGGAGACCTCCCAGGAGAAGTCATGGCAATAGGGGACGCATCCGACTGGAGAACACCCCTATTCCAATACTTGGAACATGATGTTACCCCACAGCACCCCGTTGAGCGGAAGGCACTCAAACGAAGGGCAGTAAGGTACACCATCATTGGCGGGCAACTTTGCAAGAGATCGTTCTCTGGCGCCTACCTGAAGT